ACCCTGAACCCCAAATCCTAAGCCCCAAATCCCAAACCCTAAACCCTAAACCAGAGATCAGCACTAGCATTGAAGATCTAGCAGTGCTCTACAGTCTCTAGCCTTCGGCTGCTAAGAGTTTGGAGCGTTGGGGTTTGGGTTTAAGGCTTAGGGGTGTAGGGCTTTGGGTTTAGGGTTTATAGGGTTTAGGGTAGGGTTTAGGGCTTAGGGTTTAGGGCTTTAGGGTTTGGCGGTTTGAAGGTTTAGTGGTTTAGGTCCTTTAAGAGTCTAGAGGGATATGGAGGACTTGGGTTCGGGGGTTTTGGGTGTTAGGGACTTGAGAGTCTTAAGAAAGCGGTCGATGGTTTTAGGGTTTAGGGTTTAGGGTTTTGGGTTTAGGGTTTAGGGTTTAGGGTTTAGGATCAAGATGGGGAGCCGGGGGGTGTAGGGTTTAGGGTTTAGGGTGTCGAGATAGAGGTTCTCAGGGTATACGTTAGGTTGAGGGGTGAGAGACGGTTTAGGGTTCATGTGCGGCTTAAGGAATTTAGGCTTAGGGAATGGTCTCAAGAACGCGGTTTAGGGTTCAGGGTGTAGGGCTTCGGGAGTTGAGCTTGCGACTCGCAGTGCAAATCTTGATTTTTCAACCTTCAGTCCTTAACCATCGACCCTAAACCCTCGACCCCCAACCCTGGGCAACAAACCCTCAACGCAGTCACTGGAACCTGGCCCCAGGCCGTAAACCTGAGCTCCCAAACCTCATGACCTAAAGACGCTGGGCATTCTAAACCTGAAGCCCTAAACCCTACTAAATCCCTAACTTATTGGAACTGACAAGAGCTGCTGGCAAGTAGCCCGGACGATAACTCTGCTGGAAGCACCGATCCTAACGTAACACCTCAAAACCTTCAACCCTAAACGCTAACCCCCTAAAACCCCCAAACCCCAATGTCCTAAACCTCAAACTCTAGGCTTGAACTCCTTATCGAACCCTACCTTCAGGGTTTAGCGCTTAGGGCTGAATGAAAGCTTTTACAAGGGCCTTAGAGGAATTTTTCAAAGGCTTCATAAGGGTTTAGTAAGGGCTTTAGAAGGGTGCTCAATGGGCTTGATAGAACCAAACGAAAACTTTAGTACAATTGTTGGTGTGGCTTTTATACGGCTCTACCAGACCAAATGCTCCCGGCACATGAACCCTAAACCCTAAACCCTAAACCCTAAACCCTAAACCCTAAACCCTATTAGAATTCTTAAGTGTTTGCACAGGGTCCGATAGGACCAAGGGCCTTCACAGGGTCCTGTAGGACCAAGTGAACACGCCTAATTACAGCTCTACATTCAATACACGGGTGTTTGCATAAAACCCTAAACCCTAAACCCTAAACCCTTTGCGGGTATATGGGTGTTAGTATAAGATATAGGGCACCAGAATTACTTCAAGCGAGTTCCGGTGGGAAGTCTATGCTTCTAGTTACTAGTTCCGGTGGATGTTCTATGCTACTAAGGACTATAAGTTTCAACTTGCTCAAACTCCTGTATCAAAGCCGACGCCCTGAAAGGGTAAACTGCCGAAACAAGACCGAAACCGGAAAGTTCGTCGAATGCCAAACCTCAAGCCCTAAATCCTGCTGCGGTTATTTATTATCTGCAACACCCCTGTTTCAAAATGCACTGTCGGTCTTAGGGTTCAGTTTTTGTGGTGTAGACCACATAATGTAGGGGCCTTGATAATTAGAATAGGGTTGCGGGGGTTCCTTATTTCAATCATGGTAGAATATACCCCAAAACCCCCAAAACCTATTCTAATCATTACGGCCCCCCACATTAATCCCACAGATTCCAAGCCAAAACCTTCAAGCCAGAACCTGACCTGCGAACCCAAAGCCCTGAAGCCTTTAAGCCTAGGCCCTGATCCCTAAACCCTAAACCCTAAGCCTTTAAGCCTAGGCCCTGAACTCTGAACCAGCCCTTCGTCCAAGGTAGTATTGGGCTTAGGGTCTAGGGTTTAGGGTTTAGGGTTTAGGGTCTAGGGTCTATCTAAGGTTTAGCGTTTAGGGTTTTGGGGCTTAGGGTCTAGGGTCTATCTAAGGTCAGGAGTATGGGCCCCTAATATGGACCCTTAGGCCTTTCTAGTCACCTTGAAGGGTACAAAAAGGGTAGACAGTAGGTAAATAAGGATCCCACCCTTGAGGGTTTCAAACTTATTAGAGTCTAGGGATTAGGGTTTAGGGTCTAGGGTTTAGGGTTGCAGATAGTATTGGGAACTATAGTAGGGTTCTCCAGGAACATCATCGCCTTTAGTCATAGTTCGGAACCCTAATGCTTCCGACTCGTATATGACCTGGGGCTGCGGCCACAAACAGGCGATAACATGCTGCTCCAGGAGCATCATGCCCAAGATCTTGAACCTCAAAACTCCGCAGGGTTTTGGTTTTATAGGGTTCAGGGGTTGCTTCTGTACCTGTTAGGGCTCCTGAATAATTCGAAACCGATTATAACACACACCGAAACTCTATTTAACCATTACTACCCTATGCTTCCAGGGACCATATGATTCGGTAACTATACGGTCCTTGGAAGCATAGGGCTAAGACTCCGAAAAAAAGGGCTCTTTATTGGTAACCCAAAACCCTAAACTCTAGACCCTAAACCCTAAACCCTAAACCCTAAACCCTAAACTCTAGACCCTAAACCCAAAACCCTAAACCCCAAACCCTAAACCCTTAATCCTCGGCTCTCAAAAGCCGACAGAGTCCTCAGATCCCAACCACCAAGTTGGAACCGAAGGCTTAGACCTAGGGGGTTTAGGGTTTATAGGGCTTAGGGCTTTTAGGGTTTAGGGCTTGGGGTTTAGGGTTTATAGGGCTTTGGGTTCAGGGCTTAAGGTTTAGGGGGCTTAGGGCGTTGAGGGTTTAGGGTTCAACTCTGCGCTCTGCGCGATGTTGCTGGGAGCGGTCTTGAACCCAGACCTTCCAGTATCCCTTAATTAAAGCGTTTAGGGTGTTTTGGGGGTTTAGGGTTT